CAGAACCAATCGACCGATCAGAATTCCAGACCGTATTCGAAGTGCCTCTGCAAATATTTCGAGCACTTTTATAGCACACTGATACGGGTCATTTATGCAAATTTGGCTTAACATACAATATGCTAGCAAATTTCGGCCTAACTTGCAAATTTGGCCTGTTACACAAATGTACAACGTGTAAAAGTTGCATTATGCAAATTTGGTCGATTTATACGTCCTATTGAAAGGGGGCAAAAAAAAATTAGATGTGGCTTCATTGCGATAAGTTTAACTGCTTCTGAAAAGGAGAGCAATCGTAGGTTTTCTGGAAAATCATGATTGGTTATGATAAAATACAGTGCAAAATGAACTGCTTATAATTGCAGGTCACGGAAATGGGTCAGAGGGTCTGCGCAATACTTCTTGTAAGATTGTTCGAAAATAGCATATTTTAGTGCATAGGTAAGTTTGCTGTCTTTATTTTATCGTTTCTTTAGCTGTAAACACAGACAGAACTGTAAGCAGAAGTTGTTTGTAATGGAACTAAAGAAGCTTTGAAGGGCAAAATATGTCCCTCAGTCGTCGTCTTAAAGGAGTGAGGTACCACAGAGTTCCAAGATTACAGGCACAAGAAATGCAGGTTATTTCATTTTCCAAGAATAATAGCAGGTTCTCAATCGCAGAATTGTGCCCACCTCTTCAGTACCACTGCGCTAAAACTCTGATGCACAGAGGTGAGACGAAAGCTGAAGAGCGAGCACTGGTTGCAACGAAAATTTGGAGCGAGAAATGCTTCTGGGTGTCTCACTGTGAACAAATCAGATTTTTCTGTGAGGTAACTGGCATATATGATGTCACTGCCACCCCGAGAGAAAGTAAAATTGGATGGACAGGGCTTATTCCTTGCACTGCTGGCAAACCTTGTGGGCATTGTGTAGTAGTGAGTGATACTAGCAAAAAAGCAGGCCGTCAGTTGGGTAGATTCTTTTTATGCGTTTTTTGCATCTGTGCAATGCAGATAACGCGTATTGACGAGCGGTTGTCTGTGTGTGTTTGTCTGTGCGTCTGTACTGATTTTTCCTCTCGAGACCTACAAAAGCTACAGGACTGAAACTTTGAGAACTTAATCTACATGCGTGTACGGGCCCCGATCTCCAAAATGGGCGGTCTTACCAACGTGTTACTCATGTACGGGCCTATGAAAATTTTTTGCGGGCAAGTCGCTAATTCGGGAACCAGGAAAGCTAGAAAGCTAAAAATTTTAAACGGATGCTTCTTGACAGTCCTGGTGGCCAGTCTCAATTCTTTTAGCCAGAAGCATTTGCCGGAAAAACCGGTGCCGGTAGCGACAAAAACTGCAGGGAACTATGCAAAAAACGCATCTTCGCTCCGGCAGTCGGTGCGTTGGTCAATTATTAGATTTTTAGGCAGATTTTTCGGGCAGATTTTTTTCTAACATTCTGTAGGATTAGTCTTCCCATTAGGAGTCATGCTAGAGTCTGGTCAAGTGTCGAAGATCAGCTCGATTCTTCCGAATCTGGGGGGTCCTGGTGGAGCATGCCGGGATTGCCATCCGGAAAAGTAAGGTGGGAGTTTCGGCTGCGTTTTTGGGTTCAACCAAACAAGGAGTTCGAGTTCTCAGGAAAATCCCGCGAATATCTCACAGCTCCCGATGCCGAAACCTACCGCAAGCACTAACAACTGCGAGCAAGAAGTTTTTTATTTCGCTGGGACGTTGCGTTTTCATAGCGGCCCCGCACTGTTTCGAATTCAAATTTTTGCCAAGCATTTTTCGGGTGAGGTTTAGGCGGGCGTGGTTTGCGGGGGGTGTGCTCGGGAGGGTATTTCGCAAGAACGGTTGGGGGCGTGGTCTGAGCATCAGTAACGGACAGCTTATTAGGCACGTACTCTTCGCGGATGACATAGTTC